CAGAAGAGAGTGCAACAATATTTTTCCTGTTTTGAAAGAAAAGAATTGTCAACCGTGAATCCTACACTCAGCACAAAAAAAAAAAAAAAAAATCCATAACTGACTGGGTGCGGTGGCTAGCACTCTGGGAGGCCAAGGCAAGAGGAGAGGTTGCAGTGTTGAGATCGCACCACTACACTCTAGCCTGGGTGACAGAGTGAGAACCTGTCTCAAAAAAAAAAAAAAAAAAAAAAAAAAGCTCTTTCATGGCCATGGCCTGGAGAATCATTTTTCTTTGTCAAAGGCAACACATAAAGATATAATGGAGAATTTGAAAATGTACAAGATGAGATAAGAACCCAAAAGATATAAAGGAGGCTAGATAAAAAGACAGCTGTGGGGCACAGAGCAGGCACCCCTGTTTAGAACTTGGACCTTTAACTAAGCTAGTCCCCTGGACCCTGAGTCAATATGGGATAACCTGTGGGAGTGAAAAGGAGGGTTTTACAGTCCATTAACCTGGGAAATAAAACAATAACACACTGGACTGTATGTTGTTGGATTTTACAGACTCTTCAGTGATGGTAGTTACCTGAATTTATGTCCCCTACTGCTGTTCTGTTTAGATCATAGTTTCTTTGGATCGGAGTGGCAGAAGCGATGGTGTGTTGTCAGCAGAGGTCTCTTCTACTACTATGCTAATGAGAAGAGTAAGTGTTCTTCATTTACACAGCAGCATCTCACTCCTGGATGCAAACACTTCGTAAATTCTCAAGCACTTAGATCTCAAGATAGCAGTCCTTAACTAATACCCATAAAGGGACATGCTTAGGAAAGAAATAGGCATGGGCAAATAATACCTTGCCCATCACCGAAAAAGCAGAACCCAATTTAGAAATTATTTCACCTTTAAACACTAAGAGTGTGGTCAGCACATCAAAGGGTTATCTTTTATTATGATTAGCAATACATTATCAAAGTTGAATGTTTTGATTTAAAAAATAAAAATAAAAAGAACTTCAAACTCTTTACAGGTATCAATACCATAGCTAAAATATTGAAATAAATTAATTCTGAGAAAGACTTAAAGAACTTAAACAATGGCCCAGAAATTGAACCCCCTAAGGGCATGCTCCCAGCTTTATCCTAATGACTACTAGGAAGTAAGTAGTCCAGTGAACATTCCTATAGCCATAGAATATTGAGACCCAAATGGTTGCTGTACCCAAGGCACGCCCTTCAGCCAGATGACAGCAGCAGTGAAGTGTTGACTCAGGCCAGAGATAGTTTCTTAATGAGCCACCACTGACTTAATCAAGTCAACACTCATGAGCTAACCCTAGAAGACCTCCCATCCATGTTTAACGTAATTGATTGATTTATGAAAAGGAATAGAGGATATAAGCACAATAGGAGGCAATTACAAATAAATACAAGCTAAAAATTATTACTATAGATGAATGCAAACTTTCGAATAGGGGATACACTTCTACAGAGTTGGACTGCCCCAGGAGTAATTCTAAGAAACAAGAGGGAGACAAAGTTTAAAAAACGTCAATTCTTGGCTGGGCGCGGTGGCTCACGCCTGTAATCCCAGCACTTTGGGAGGCTGAGGTGGGCGGATCACAAGGTCAGGAGATGGAGACCATCCTAGCTAACACAGTGAAACCCCGTCTCTACTAAAAATACAAAAAATTAGCCAGGCGTGGTGATGAGCGCCTGTAGTCCCAGCTACTCAGGAGGTGTGAACCTGGGAGGCGGAGGTTGCGCTGAGATCGCGCCACTGCACTGCAGCCTGGGTGACAGAGCAAGACTCTGTCTCAAAAAAAAAGCATCAATTCTTGTTGGGGCTTTCTTGTGCTGTGCACCTTCGAACAGAGGCCAGCGATACAGATTGAGTAGAGCCTTTTTTTTCCTTGCAGTCATTTTCTGTTTCTCCTTTCTTATTCCTTCCTCAAACTTAGTCCTCTCCCAGTGCCTGGATATCCAATGTAGGGAATAATCAGACACCCACCCAGTTGCCTTTGTACTTCCTGCACCTGCAGTACTAAGGTAGTAGAAAGAACTACAGCTTCGGGCCAGGCGCAGTGGCTCACGTCTGTAATCCCAGCACTTTGGGTGGCCAAGGCAGGCAGATCATGAGGTCAGGAGTTCAAGACCAACCTGGCCAACACAGTGAAACCCCGTCTCTACTACTAAAAATACAAAAATTAGCCAGGCATGGTGGCAGGTGCCTGTAGGCTGAGACAGGAGAATCGCTTGAACCCAGGAGGTGGAGGTTGTGGTGAGCTGAGATCACGCCACTGCACTCCACCCTGGGCAACAGAACGAGACTCTTTCTTAAAACACTGAATCTTTGCTAAGTTACTTGAAATCCTTAAGATTTGCCCTTGGGCTTGGTAGCAATTGCCTCATGCTGCCTCCCTGCCTGCAGTAGTTATCACAGACCTTTGCCTACCTTTCACCATCCTACATCCCTCAGAACCTTTCCCATCTAGGGGCAAAGGCTAAAGCCCTGTTTGGAAAGGATAACAGCATAGTTTGTAAACTGAGCTACAAGTCCCATGTGTCCTTCCAACCCCCAACCCGCTCTCAAACCCAGCAACCACAATTTCTCCTCTAAATTACAGGCATACAACCCAGCCAGTTGTTCTTTTCTTATTTTAAACCTTCAAACTAATATGCCATTTGTCACTGTAAATATGTTCATCATTTCTTTTGCATTTAAATAAGTGGTTGGCATATCTAGATATAAAACCAGGTGTGTCACATCTGTTCATTCAGAATCTTCCATACTCATGGTGAGAGAGGAGGGGGGACAGTAAGAACAAGAGACTCAGAGGCTTTTATTGACCATTTTGCCATCAGGGTGAAATAAAATCTGGTGACCAAAGAAACAACAAAACATTTTAGTGGCCGGTTAGAACAAGGAGAGATACTTTAACAAAAAAGATTCTGGTGTCAAAAAGCACTGTTCCATGGCTCCCTTCTCGCCAGTTATTTCTTATTGTGCCCATGACATTTTCTTAGTAAGAATAGTGTTTGTGTATTTCTTTTAGCTCAACCAGGTGAGGACAGAGTCTTTTTTCTTCTTCTTTCTTTTTTAATATTGTCAGCACACTGCCATCCTTCTCATCATTATCATCATCAAAAAGCATTTATTAAGCAATTCATTTCACATGATATAGAGCTCAAAGCATCCCAGACACTGTGGTTCCTGTTCTCTATGTGTTCTGCCTGAACCACACAATGAGGACAAAAAATTCTTGAGAGCCACCTCCTCTTTTTCTGTTTCTAACACTTTTTTTTGGTAGTGACAAGCAGAATAGTCTCTCTTCACTTAGGGTCCTTTTCCTTTTGTCTCCTTCCTCGTCATCTAATAATACTCAACATTATTCTGCTACTTCTCAGGTTGACCTCTTACAAGGAGGATAAATACTGAGTTTTAATCATTCTCCCTCTAGCATAAATTCCCACCTGACCAGCAGGGAAGGGGGAGAGAAGTTTAGCCCAAATGCTACATAGGGCATGGGAGGCAATTCTGGGACCTTATAATGCCCCCCTGTGCTGCTGTCCCTCCCCTCAAATGTGAGCTCTGCTGGCCCTGATAATAATGTTTCAGCTCTATAATAGCCTTCAAGAGCCTCACATTTACAGCCACACTCTCCCTGCTGTAATAATTCCTTCTTTCTGTTATTATAGATCTCTTAACATTCTAATAAATTCTCTGTCTCTGTTGTACTCTTTTGGCAAAATAACCTTTCACGTTGCATTTCCCTAGCTTGGCAGTGGTATCTGCCTTACTGTCGCAGTAGCCTCTTCTTAAGCTTCTCTAATAACCTTTCCTTGACTATTGTGGTTCCTCAGGGATGTAACAGCTGTTTCTGTGCTTTTATTTTACATACCAGAGAAGATGCCTTCCCTTGGCAGTTGCATCTCTCTAGGGATACAGGGAGCTTTCCTGTCTTGCAGGCAAGCAGCCCAAAGGGACCTTCCTCATTAAGGGCTACAGTATTCGGATGGCCCCCCACCTGCGAAGAGATTCCAAGAAAGAATCCTGCTTTGAACTGACCTCCCAGGATAGGCGCAGCTATGAGGTAGGACGCACCGAGGATGGTGATCCTTGTTGGTGTTGCAGTTTCCTTTCGTGTTGCATGTGAGCCATGGTTGCTATGCTGGGTTCCAGCCTTTCTTTGTTACCTGCTCATTTCATACCAACTAAGACCCTATTTCTTGACATGTCTTCACATTTGCTATGCCACACCCTCCCCTCTGTTGCCACTCTCATCCTAGATACAGACTTTGCTTGGCTTCCATCCTTCATTCCTCCCCTTCTCAATTTCAATTCATAGGTGAGATGCTTGTCAGTTGCAGCACACAATCCAATTCCTTACTTATAGTCTCTGATTTTATGGTTTAAATTCCCATTCTCTTTATTTTTCAACTGATTTTCTTCACTTCCTCCCATAAAACCCAAAAAAAGAAGATCTAACTGTAGAGTGAAAAAAAAAATTATTTTCCCATGTTCATCTTGCTATCCAAAATAATCTTCCTGTATGTAGATGCTTTGCATATCTCTGGAAGGATTTCTAAGGTATTGGTGACAATAGTTAGTAATAATAATAATTGAAGGACTAGAGGACCTGGTTGGGGCATGAAAGATTTATTCCTTACTATGCTCAGTTTGAATCTTTACCTCATTATAAAGTTAATTTGTTTCACTTTATTTTTGCCATCTTCATCCTGAATGACCAATAAAATTTAAAAATTTCTGACTGTGGAAATATAGTGATTTTCACCGAAAATGTATGTTTGCATGTGTGTGTGTATTGTTTTCTGCTCTTTGGTAATGTTTATCTTATTACAATTTTATTAAAGCAATTTAGAAAAACTTTAGCTTATGAAAAAGGAAAACACCATACTAAGAGTAAATTAACCACTTAAATAACACTTTTAGTCTTCAGACTTTTCTCAGCATTCTTCTTTTTATTTCTACAGTATCTTAACTCTTATTTTGTTAAAGGACCTAGGTCTTCATTATGTAATTTCCAGAAATTTTTAAAAATTTGAATTAAAATTTTTTATAGAGTCCTTTATGAATATATATAAAATAGATCTATGCACTGAATATGTTCCTAGTTATTTTTATTATTATATTCTGATAGTAACACATCCAGATAAAAGTTTATGTAACAAGTCTAAACCAGTATTTCTAGAAATGTTTTTATAGAAATTTGTTTTTAAGAAATCAAGAATAACAATGTTTATTAATAAGTATTATGCAGGAATCCAGTTTCTTTGTGTAGCAGATATCTTTACCTTACCCTAATGGTCAGATAATTAAAATATTTTTCAGGGACAATTATTTCAAGTTGATTCATTTAAAATAAAAAACTTACTAAGGGCTGATGCTTGACTGGCCTATTTTGTAAATCAGAATGTATTTACTTCTTTTCTTTGGCCTATTGAATCCAAATCATTACCATGGTCCATGGATTCTTCTTCTACAATATCCTTCGGCTCTTTCCCTTCTTATTTATTCCCACAGCTATCACAATGGTTAAGTTCCTGTCACTTCATCCAGAGGACCAGTTGGTCTTCTATCTCCAGATTTCTCTATTCCAATCCTTCCTACTCACAGCTATTGAAAGAATCCCCCACTCCCTTTGCTAGAGCTGATAGTGGCTTCCCGTTGCCTACATTTTAACTCTGAGCTCCTAGTACTCAGAGCCCTTTTACCAACTCTTCTCTGACCCTCAACTCTCCAACTTCATCTGTTATTGTTCTCCAGTCAAACTGATCTGCCAGCCTTCCCCATAAGTCATGTTCTCATTCCTGTTCTTTTGCACATGGGCCTCCCTACCTAAAATGTCCAACTCTGTCCACCAGTTTCCACCAACTCTTCTTTAAAATCCAACCAAAATGGTATTATTTTAGCAAGCCACTCTGACCCACTCTAGGCAACAATAGGTGCTCCCGGTCTCCTCTTGATATCCAGTTGTTACCAAATGTGCCTCCTTTGTAGTGTTCCCGTTTCGTGTGTGGGGGTTGGTTTGCTTTTTTTTCTTGTAAACTTTTCTCAAATAAATGCCTGATGAAGGAATAGATAATCAAATGAAAGAATGCACATGGACATGAATGTCTGGACTCAAAAAGCTGTCATCTCTGGATATGCAAAATTGCACAAGGAAAAAATCAGTTTGAGTGAAATATTTGTTCTTCTTTCTGTATGTTAATCAGGCAGAGAATCCTCAGCTTTAAACTTGACTCTGAAACTCAGTGGTTCCTCCCCCTTAGACATCCCTGTCAAGATTCATGGAAATTTTAGTGACAGTGATAAATTAATTCACTGATTTTTCTGTAGTTTACAGCTACTAGTCCAGCAGAAGCCAGAGACTGGGTGGATCAAATAAGTTTCTTGTTAAAAGGTAAGTGTCACTGTTACAGAAATAATACCTGAGTTCATTTGCAGTTGAAGTTATGTTGCATAAATATAATCTATAGACTTCAGTATGTATTTTTTCTGCCCTTTCTCACCTCTGCCTTTCCTACCACATTCCCCATATTACAACAACAGATAGTACTATGTGTGAATGAGAAGGTAAAGATGGTATCAACCTTGGGAGGACCTCTGGTATCATAGCTCATCCACCTACCTACAGGCAAGTCTGTAATATTCAAAATCACTAGACAAGAAGATTCTAAAAATCAGCTCAGCCCAATTCAGTGTCTCCTAACCCCGTATATTCTGGAAAGGAAATTCATAATATCCAACTTAAAGTCATCTAGTTGCAATTGAGGTTCAAAATCTTCTTATTTTAGTCTTAGGAGGAAGTAGAAATCTAAACCAATCTAGATGGTCTTCAGAGACATTGGACATTAAAAACAAATTGCTATTTCCCAAGCCGCAATAAGATGTTCCTTGCTTTGGGGTGGGAAGAGTCCTGCCTGAAGATGGTAAATGACTGCTCTTAGAGTACCCTCTGCTGGCCAGCCTGTAGGCAAAGCAGAAACGGTGGCCAGGGAAGCCTTATCTGGGAGTGGCCTGTCAGGTAGAAGAAGCCAACCTTGAGTGAGTCACTTGGTATTAGATAATCCTTACCTACCATCATGGCAGGACCCTACCTCTGTTCTGCAGAAAGGCAGAAACACCGACTTTATACATGGCCCAAGACCTAGAAAGACACACGTCAACCTAAAAATGCCAAGCCTTTTCATCTCAGTGTTTTATTCTGCTATAAGATTTTATTGTGGATAAAAAGAAGGAAGCACCAGAGCTTTAATTACAAGAATTGCCTGTTTTACTCAGTTATGCCTTTGCTATCACAAAAACAAACTATTGCATCTACCAACAGCGTCATGTATAATAGGCTGGAACTAGGCAAACATGAACATTGATGGCAAGACTACAGGGTACACTCTCATCTAGGTGCCTTGGATTTATGTGTGTAATATACCCCTAAGTGTGTAAACCTCAATAAAACTCAAAGCAGCTTTATTGAGCTGTACCCTGTGGTACTTTCAGAATCCCACATTGAAGAAATTATTCATTCCATTTTATTTTAAAACAAACAAAATAATAACATATGGTTTAAGCCACAAATGTGTTTTTGATCTTTTCCTCTTATGTGGTGGCACCAAAATTCAGATGAAAATTGTTGCAAAATCTTTATTAAAAGCCTAATCAAGCCAAACAGTTTTATTGCATTTTGAAATGAACGTTGGACGTCTCTCCATCCTTTCCTTCCCCAGAGTAGGCTGACTGCAATCGCCCATCCTACAGAGGGCCCTCAGCAGGGTTTCAGAGAGCACTTTGTAGTACACATCAGAGAATGAACATACCCAGTTCCCCATTAAAATAAAAAACCAATCTCCCTCTCCTGCCCTGGTGCTCCCCAGTGCTGTAATGGCTCAACACCTTCTATGCAGTGACCCACTTTAAGGTCAGCTAGACTGTGCAGTTGCAAAAGGACATGGTAACTGCATTGTTCAGCCATTCTATTTGGTGTTGTATTACTGCTATATTTTTCCATACCCCATTTCTTTTTCTCTTCCACTGTTGCCCATTTTTTTCTCTGCAAACAAATTTGTCTGAAATTCTGCAGTGAAATCACTGGGGATATGAGCTTCTGACAGCTCCAACACCCTACAGAGGCCACCTTAGTTCCCATGGCCTGAGCACCCTGGAGGACTGCAAGCCTTCACTCACCCTTCCAGTTTTCTACTTGATGAGCTGTGCGCAGCACACTGGCTTTTCCTCTTCTGGCCTATTTTCTTCCATTCGCCTCCTGTTCTCATTCACACACCCATGCTTTTCAGGCTGCTTCACCCTGATCAAGTTTTATTGCAAGGAAGGATTTATGCTGATGGTTTAAACCTGATGCAGTGCTATTCCGGCCTTTTCTGTAGATTTCCTGCCACCAAAGCCCACATTAGATATAATAGCATTTAACCTGGTGTTTCATTTTCTTTTGACATATTTTACTCTCATCCCTCCTCCTCCTTCTCCCTCTTTCCTTTCCTGTCTTATTATTTTCTTTTTCTCTGTTTCTTGATTCATTCTCATCTTCGCCCTGGCAGATCTGAGCTCCTTAACCATTCCATATGAAGAGGACGAGGAGGAAGAAGAAAAAGAAGAGACATATGATGATATTGATGGTTTTGACTCCCCAAGTTCTGGTTCCCAGTGCAGACCCACTATCTTGCCTGGGAGTGTGGGGATAAAAGAGCCTACAGAGGAGAAAGAAGAAGAAGATATTTATGAAGTCTTGCCAGGTGAGAAATTTTGTCCTCTGATTATCTTCCGCTAGTTTCGGAAACTCATGACCTGGAGGAAGAATAATAACTTTGAAAATTCCAAAATAAGCCAAATCGAACCTTCATCCTCTGAAGGAGATAATGTGGGAAGCTTTATGAGATTGTAGGGAAGCGGGTAATGAGGCTCTGCCTTGCCATGGGAGCAAGAAGAATTTGATTAGAGAGTGTCTTCTATCCATGCCATGTGAAGTAACTTATTACATGTGTCCACCAGGTTAAAGAGTCAAGAATACTTACATTGGTTTTTATTGGTTTATTGTGAGCTTTGGGATGAGTCATCAAAATTCTCTAGTTTCAACTTTTTGGTGTGTAGTTGTAAGAATAAGGAAAATTGCTTCAAAATTATGAAGGATTTCAAAACTCTGAAATATGTAAATGCTGACAAATCTTTTAGTAATACCTTGATAGACCAAACCTTGATAGTAAACCTTGATAGAGAACAACTCATTATTACCTAGTTCAGATATACCATGAGTTAAATCACATCTCTTAAAAATAACCCTAACATGTTTTATCTGCTCATCATTACAGCAGGTCTGCTTTATATATTTCCTTTCTTCCAAAGGCATGAAAACTAGCATCTCAAAAAATGTATAGTCATCACTGCTTCTGCATAGCCATGTCTGGTGGGGATAACAGCAGCTGGTGAACGGTGCAGAGCTCAGTGGGGGTCAGACGGTGGAGAACCAAAGCCTGAGCCTTTTAATTGTGAAGTAGTTAGACCACAGGAACACTAATCTTCAAGTCCATTCAGAAAGATCATTCCTATGGAAATTTGCCAGGAGTTCAGTGCTCTGCGGAGAAATTCAAGTTAAGCTTAAATTTATAGCAATTTAGACCCAGATGAACCCAGATGAACCTCAATCCCAGATGAACCTAAGAACTAAGGTGAATCTAACACTCAGGTCCCTGAAGACAGGGCTGGTTGCTGAAAGCATAATCAGTAAGCAACTTTTATTTCAAGGCTTCCTAAGAAGAGCATCCAACCCTCACCACACTACATTCATCTCTTCCTGGGGAGGAAACTACATCATTGCTTCCTGAGTCAAGGGGCAGGACAGTGGCCATATGTCCCTGCCCTGCTGAGGACTTCACCCACCCACCAAGGAGAGCCTGCTTCTTCTCCTAGCACTTCCAGCCTCTGCCAGTCCTGACTTCTCCAGCCTTTTTGTTGTGTTTTATTATGCAAATGATATCTTGGTTGAGGTCGAGCCATTTCTTGTGTCTTGTGTCTGACGTTAAAAAAAATGATAATTTCCTCAGCAAGTCATCGTCGTTAATGAAGTTTTACAAAAACAGATACAACCAAAGGAAAATAAAATTTCACAGGTGATAAATTTTTCCAATTTCCCTGGCAGAATTCGATAGGATTGTTAAATTAAGAGTGAAGGTGTCTGTTAGAAAGCAACGAGCAGTGATGGGTAATTTTATAGAGTGGAAAATTGAATCAAATTGCTACATTAAAACACAGCTCCTCTGAGAATCTTCCCTTTCACAGTTGGCTCCATTGCAACAGCAGGGTGCAGAAATGGATCTAATTCACAATACTCTCTAAAAGGAGATGCACTCCCCAACTTGGCCAGAATCTTCTTAGTGAGCTCACATTCTGCTCACTCCTGCCCAGGCTTGGGGAAATATCCGCGTGACACTCCACTTTGGGTTACAACTGTGGAAGAGTGCTCTGGGAAAACCTCAGTGAACTTTCTGGGGTGGAAAGAAAGGGCCTTTTTCTGCACCATGTTTCGTTTTCAAAGGAGCCAGGAAGGAGGAGGCTGATGCTCAGAGACGCAGAGCAAAGGAGAATAAAAAGAGGTCTCAAAAAATAAGATGAGTTTGGGACTGTCACCTTACCCCAGGAGTGGGCAGTGAAGGTATGATTGGCTTCCTAATGACCATCTTTCTCCTGCCTCCTAAACTCCTCCCCTTGGCCAATGCAGCACCGCCCAGAGTATCAGGGCATTTTTCCAAAATTCCCACCAGCTGGTATGTTGGAGTGGCCCCAAGGGCATGAAGACTGGTCTGTGGGTGCATTTAACCTCTATCCACAACAGCTGCCCATCGGAAGTGAGGAAGGCCACACAGTAGGAAATCCAGGATATCTTTCTGCAGATTAGGGAAACAACAGCTAAATTGCACCCAGTTTCCAAAGGACAACACTGTACCCAGGCAACAGGTTCTTTCCCATAAGCCTCTGTCCATCACAGTTCCTAGAGACAGAGTTGGAGGTGGGATATATTGGCATTTAATTATGATATGAATATTTCAGCCGCAAGTTTCCATCACCCAGTTTCCTGTCCACTCCACTCAGCTGTTGCTTCTGAACTTGCTATTTGAATTTTGCGTAGTGCCACACCTGGAGAAATTGAGAAGGGAATGTGAGGGGGCCTAACACTGTCTCCCTTCTGCTGCCCTCTCATAAGACCACCTACCAAGCAGCGGCACATGAGACAGCAATGGTATCCTAGGCACAGATACTGACCCTAAATCAGGATGGATTTGCTCTGCCACCTGCTAACTGTGAGACCTTGAGCAAGTTACTTGCCCTCTCTCTGTCTGATTATATTACCTGTAAAACAGGGAAAACAATAGTAGCTGTCTCAGAGGGATGTGGTGAGGAGTCTAAAACTGACATGTGTAAAGTTCTTAGCACAGAGCCCTGGCAAACAATGGCATACAGTGAGTACTCAGTAAATGCTGGCTGTTATTAATGTGATGGTGTTTAAACAGGAAGTGTTACCTCCTTGAAGAACTGGGGATGGTTGGGTCCCCACCCTCTCGAACCAGACCCAAGACAGTCCTGTTGGTTATTTCCAGCTATGTGTATGCAGCAGGTGAAATTGAAAATCCTGAGCAGATGGAATGTGAAGTGCACCTTCTGCTCAGGCCCATTTTTACTGCAAGGCCAGGTGCTGGGTGTAGGGACAGCCTACAGTACCATTGGATTGTGCTAACATTGCATACCCCTCAAGAGTCAAATGACGTGGGCCTCTAACATTTGTTTCATTATAACAGGTAAAAGTGCTTTGTGGAGGATATTTAACATTGGCAGTTCTGCTAATCCTCCCTTTTGGGATGGGTCCCACACAAGCCCTCACTGTCTCTATAGGGAAAGCCATGTAAGTGAGACCTTCCTTCCAGAGTATAATTTAGATGGGCTTCCTAATAGGGAGAAAAGTGTATGTAACGCATACCAAGTCAATAAAAAATGTTTTTTTGTAATCAAAATAATGTATGGGTCATCACATTAAACTCACTCCATCACATTAATCATGGGATAATTAGCATTTGCTACATGGCTAGCACTCTTCTCCCTGTGAGGGAAAACCAGAGCACTCAAGGTTTTCAGCCAGGCCACAAAAACGTTAGTCCTGGAAAATATGGTTTCAAGGTTGGTATCTGGTGGGATTTCTGAACATCCATGTTGAGCATTTGCGGGCCCTTGATTTTTTTAGGATCTCATTTGCAGTAGATTAAACTGCAGGGAACCACCACAAAGAAATGCTAAAGCAATATGTAGAAAATGGGAGGCTTTTCTGAGCCCTCTCTCACCACCACCACCACCCCCGAAGTTATTTTACAGGCCAGCATAGGCCCAGCTCCATGATTCAAGATTCCATAAAAGGACAACTTTTATCAGGTTTCTCTTTGTCTGGAGTCTCAAGGCTGGGATCCAGCAAGACGTCCGAGACCATTGAAGTGCTGTAACTGGGGCCTTGTAGCAGCTGCAATGGCAACAGAATCCGGCTGTGTTCTCTAGAGAGATTTCAGAAGAGCAAATGGAAAGAGAGATGAAGAGCCCTCTCTGGGAATTTCTGTGCACATTCCAATGCTGCCCACACTGCCCCAGGGTGTTGTTATAGACCTAGAAACCAGATTGCTTTAAAATAAAGCGTATAACTGAGTTTTTAAAATTTTGAGTCAAATGGAAACAAACATTCTGTGGAATTATTTTTCCCCCTGTACTGTTGTTCAGACCCACAGGAAGGGGGAACAGTGAAGATAAGAAGTCTAAGGAAATGAAACAAAATGGAGACCAAAAATACAAAGTTTATGAAGAAAGAGCATCAGGGAAGAGTCAACACCATCATCAGGCCTCCTCTGAACTTCTAGCCTTTTCTCTCTCTTACTCCCATGCCTACTGAGCCCAAGTCACACAGTGCTGCTTGGTTGGCACCAAAACTAAAATCATGTTGTTTCTTCTACCTAGACCATCCCCCTGATTTCAGCCTGTGAAATCGTATACATTCTGCTCAAATATGTCTCCTCAGTGACACCTTCCCAGATACTCAACTGGAATTAAGCTTTGTTTTAGCCCTCACCAGTGATTTGTATTCAGGTCTTTCTCCCCAATTAGTAGATGCTTAGGTATTATTTGTGAAGTTAAATTCAGTGCATTTCAAGTGTTGCAGATAGCACAAATTGAGTTTAATATCTTATACATCAAGCCCATATCACTGAAATATGATGCAAATATTTTGAGGTAACAGTTAAGATAACCAAATACACAACAGAGAATTAAATGTGTTATTAGCATCTTGCTTGTATTTTCCATGTAGTCTGATGAGGTGCTATACATCCATGGATTTATAACATACCTGTGCATGCCGGGGAGCAGTTTATTTCTAGTTTTCTGCATGTCCCCTTTGCACCTTGAGTCTATCTGTATTTCTGTTGCATCTGTCACCAGAGCAGCTTGACATCTGGTTGCACATTGACACAGTTGGCATTTTTTGAAGCTTTTGTCACTTTCTTTGTTTGGGGAAGTAAGTGATTTCTCCTCTTTCTGATTTAGTAATTTTTTCCTAATGTTATTCTTTCTGATATCAGTGTAGCCGATGTCAGAGGAATGTCAGAGCAGCACTTCAAAAAAGAGCCAGGTGTCATGAGAAGCTGCTGGCTCCTCTCTGTCCCTCTGAGGTGGATTCAGTGTCCTATTCCTCTCAACCTCTCATTAGTGT